CAAACAGCATGACTATATATCTAGTTCCTTCTGGCATGAACAAAACAGCACCATGCAGTCTCCATTGTTCACGCGTCATTGAAATGCTTCCATTTTTCAGCTGCTGGCACAAAAGCACAGTGAGATGATTTTCTACCGCAAGGGAAGAAGCATTTTGTTTGAGAAATTCTGTACCGCACATCGAATTTAAGTCCGACGCCTTTGAAGTACAGAAAAACCTCTTACCATAGATAAAAATCATTTCTACGGTCAATAAATCTGTTTGCGGCAGACATTACAAAGTTTTAAAGCATGCACTACAGATCTTCGAATTTGCATGAAGGGGCTGCAAAATGACAGTGAAAACAGTCATATTCTTTACGAACAGATGAGTTTATAAACTTAGAAGTTTGGTACTGCCGATACAACCAAGTTCACATTCGCTGAAGATCAACCGACAAAAAATTTTATTTCAAATTCATTTTTTATCCAATCGATCACCGTTTTTAAACCTAGCGGTCTTGCAGGTAGAAGAATTTCTCTGAAATCCACTGTTACAAATGCTTCATCAGTTTATAGTCTGGAATGTCTTTAAAGGCTTTCACGTTACCATAGCAAGCCATGAGTTTGCAGCGTGCAGTATTTTAGCTGGTTAAAATATACGGTTCTCTGGGTTAACAGACATTCGTCCTCAACGATGATATGCAGAGATTAGGCTTTGAAGATTGCGTATTTGCATTGGCTTAAAAGAAGTCAATATTTACCATTTTATCTTCACAATGCAGAAAAAATTAATAATTTTTCGTCAGTTGCCATTTTTAGGCCGGATTTTTCATGTAATATAACCCTGCAGAAAGCCCCTTAAAAAGGTAATCAGTTTTTGTGGAAATTCTAAGCATGATCAATTCCTCCACAAAAACAATGAAACGGTTACTGTGGTTTCGGAACTCTGAAAGTTCTGTAAGTGAAACGTGTTATCAGGCACAGCATTGTGCCTTAGCGTAGGATTAAACGGCTGATGAATTAATTAACGCTCAACAGTATTAATAAGCAATATACCAGGATAAGCAGTTCATCGTGAAACAGCCGTCCTTCTACTACAAGCTGCTACAGTAATAAAACCAACCAGTTGAATCAATTATTTCGGCTCCATGTTCATGGACTTCGCAGTTTGCAACGAAAATAACTTGTTATGCGAAGTTCGGTTCAGCTAAAAAATTCACATCAAAACCCAGACTGATGAAATTCTTGCTAATCTGTCTAGGTAATGACAAAACGCTTTACATCCGTTACCGTTTTCAACACGCTCTCAGGTATGTACAATCGGAAGTGAAACGAACAGCTGAATAATGACGTAACATCCCATAAAGCATAGTATCCTGTTATATCCCATCTCTTTTACTCAATTCACCATAGCTGGTTCCTTAAAAAAATGTTTCTTCGCTGTTAAACCGGCACACAATTTGATACTTATTAATAGACTTGTTTTGGCTTCAGACTGTTTAACAGACAAACTACACATGAATGCGTTTCTGCTTTTGGTAGATCAGAAGAAGAGTAAAGTTGGTAGCTATGTAAATCGAATGTAAATTAGTCAAAGTCTAAACCCTTTATGTATGGTGCGTACAAACAGCCATCATTAATCTCTTGGAAGAATCTATAGTTCAACCCTAAAATCCCTTAACGACTGATACTGGATTTCAATGCGGAAAGTACAAAATTGCTTATTTTACAGAGGTATTGTGGCAGTGTAAAAAGCTGTCTTATAAAGTTGGGCTGAACGAAAGCTTGTTCGAGCACCAACATTCCTGAAACTAACCGCGGACAAATGATTTAGAAAATGAGCGAAAAAATGCCCCAATATTTTGGGTTAGCTATCAGAAAGGTAGCTTTCAATTTCAGCTGGTAAATCGAACAAATTCTTGTTCAGCATCAAGTCAATGACGTGGTTTTGCATTCTATTCGCTTCTAGCGCTCTAATACCATGGAGACTTAAATAGTCTTCCCATGCGACAAGAAGCAAGGATGTGGTGAATTACTGCCATACAATCAGGTGTAACCACCACCATAACTTACAGTGCCGCGGTACAGCTTTAAAGCAGGTGGCTTAAAAGTTTTTGCTAATTAAATCCGGCGCCCATATTTAAAAGATTTTATATATTTCTGCATGAAATCAGAAGGCTGCCATTCTACCTTGGTGCCCAGGGCATTAAGATGCTCTTTTCTTCGATTTTCTATCCTTAAAATATCCTAACATTTAATTTTGTCTTCAAAAGTAAACTTCAGCAAAAAACTGATATTTCATGGTTTATGCGTTGCTCAGATCATAATATGCCATCAGATAGATGAAACGATCTGCAACAATAAAGAGTATAACGGTAAATTACCTGCACCCATCCGTGATCGCATTATAACACCGGTATCCAATTTCTTCACTGGTCAGCAGACCGATTTCAGTTCCTCGCGTACGGCAACAACTCAGGGCGAATCCCCTTTGCGAGATTATTCGCAGTTAGTAATAACATATACGCTGTATACAGAACTTAAACCCGGCATCTCTAACATGAAAAGGAACTGCTGCCACTGCTCCTTTTAGGTCACTTCAAGAAAAAGAACGACGACCGTTCAAAAACAGTGGCATACAATTGATATCAAATACCGCAAAGACAGTGTACCACTTACAGAGGCAACATATCGTAAAGTTTTAGGTTAATACTTTTCGCAGAGTATCGAAATAGTCTACCTTCAGACACTAAACATTCTATTCGTTAGACAAGGCAACTTTAACGAGAGGAACATGCATATATTCCATTTTATACAGGCATATAAGAAAGACAGTCGAAGTCTGTTACTTTTTCTGCTGCGTAATAACTTGGAATTTACAGTAAATGTTGAAAAATCATTGATACTCACTTTCTACTTGGTAAGGACAAAATTCTATGCTTTAGAGTTTTAGATAAATCTACGAATCGCCTGTTGAAACTCTACTTTCACGAAAGGCCATTGTAGTTTGTTTTGTGTAATGTTTTTCGTTTCATGCCAGGTTTTGTGCATTTCTCTGAAACATATTCCATGCTTAGGCGATTTAAACGCTACTCTATGTTAGAAGAGGAGTAACGGATGACTCGTCCAAGACGATATTTCATGCCGCACTAAAGCACCCTGTCTCTCATAGTTGCCTAGGATTCCGTTGAAACATAAAACTACTTAATGACATTTGAGCAGATGGATTCGCTATTAATGCTGCATTCCGTTTCTTCTACCATGTGATGTACTACCCAACGATCTTTGGTTGCTCACGCTCAAGTTTCGAAGTCAGCTGGTTTGCAGCAAATTATGCTTCTTCACCAAGTTGCAACTGATTGAGCCATGCCAGTTTTCTG